ACCGCTCCCAAATCCCTCGGGGTGGTTCTGGCCCCTCATGATGAGCGTGCGCCAGGAGGGACTGGTGCTGCGCCACCAGCCGCTCCCCTTCAGACCCCTCACCGCTCCTCAGTGAGACCCGGTTTTCCTCGAGCTGCCCGACAACATCCACCCCTCACCTCTCAGGGATGTCCGCCTCCCCCAAGCCAGCAACATACCCAGTAAATAAGCACAACATCTTCCTAATCTTTCAAATCTAGGTGGCTGCCATGAAGAACAGTGCCCCGGGGGGCATTTGGAGGACAGCTGTGCAGGCTCGCAGCCCCCTCCACATACTGATCCCATGGCGGCTCAAGCGACACCGAAGCCTTGTCCCTGCACGGGGACAGCGGGCCAGACTGAGGGTGAAACAATCCTCTGCGAGCAGCTGGCAGGGACACACACCCACCGCAAACCCCCCCAGAAGGGTGTTTTGGGGGTTGTGCTCCATCCCATCCCTATCCTCTGCATGCCAATGTCTCCCGGGGCAGCTCAGTCCCGCCATGAAACATGAGGGGCCCGGGGGAGCCTCCTGGGGAGAGTGGGACCATGGGACTGGCACCAGGGCAAGGAGCAGGATGAGTAGAGGAATGGACCAGGAGAGCAAATAATTCCTCCGGGATAATTTTTCTTGCTGCTCCAAGCTATGGTTTTGGAGGTGTCGCTGGCAGTGAGATGAGGAGTGGCCGTAGCTGGAACCATTCCCACAGCCTCCTTCTCTTTCAGAGCATCATTTTTTCCTCAAAGAAGTGCGAGTTCCTGCAGCAGCCCTGGTGCTGCGCCAGCTCACATCATGGGCTGCCCTGGAGCGCGACCAAGGGTCCCCAATGTCTCCCCATGGAAGCGAGCTGTCAGTCCCTCTTCCCAGGGTAAGGGTTGAACAACTCCGAATGCAGAAGAAAGCTACTGGAACAAGAGAAGGATTCACCCCCTTCCGCCATCCCACAGCTTCATGCTCACGAGATTCAGCCCCGGGGAGACCCGTAATTATCTATTTCTAGAGCTTTCAGCAGAGCGTGAGGATGCAGCAGCGCGGGATTCAGTGATTCACCAGTGACCTTCAGGCACCGTGGATGTCCTGTTAAGGGGGACTAAGATAGTCTATGGAGGCTGGTAGCTGGTTTGCTGTGACTTTTTGATTCTACGTTACATTGCCTTTAATTTGTTTTAAAAGTGAGAGATGATGTTACAGAAATGGGGTAGATACCTATCCCTTCATTACAGTGGAGTAATTGAGGGTAGCAGAATAAAAGGTAAAAATAGCAAAGCAAATTGCAACATTTTGCAATATTTTGCAAAAAAAAAAAAATGTCCAGGTTATTTTCTAAAGACACAAATCATCCTCCCCCTCAGCTCATCATCTTCCTCCCAACAGCTGGCAGCGCTGGGAGGCAGCGCTGGTGGGATTGTGCCTGGCGCCTGCCGCTGTTTCACAGCTCAGTCCTCCACAGCCCAGCGTCTCCTCAGCTGGGAAACCACAGGCTGAGACAAGCGTCTTGCTGTGGAAGGAGTTCAGAGTGGCTCCCACTCTGACAGCTAAAGTCAAAACACAGCAGAGCTCGAAGAACGTGTTTCCACATAATGCCCTTTGGCTGCAAGCAGCCGCTGTGGCTGCATGGAGAATGGCTTTTATTTAAAACGTATTTATTGACATTTGCGTCCCCTCCCAGGGGACATCACGCAGACAGCTACAGTCCTGTGTCCTTGTCAGTCCTTCTCACTCCCACCATGAGCAGATGGGCTGGGGGTACCCTCTGCCCAAGAGGGCCAAAAACTGACCCAGGGACCCCACTGCTCTTGGGGGTGCTCAACACATGAGTGAATGATAGAATCACAGAATTGTTTGGGTTGGAAAAGACCTTTAAGATCATCAAGCCCAACTGTTAACCTAACCCTGCCATCCCACCACTAAACCCTGTCTGCCTGGCTTTTGAATACCTCCAGGGATGGGGACTCGACCACTTCCCTGAAGTGCAGCTGCTCCTGCTGACCAGCAATGCCCGAGATCCTCCCAGTTCACCCTCTCAAGACCTTCAGCAGTGCCTGGAACAAAGGTTACATCTTTTAATGTCTTCATCTCACCAGTCCATCCCCATCGACGAGGCTGGTGTGTGACCCACCACCTGGAGGCCTCCCAAAGCTGTCGTGTGGCTGAGCGGTGCCTCAGCTGCTGATGGCCATCATAAGAGGTCATCCATTTTTCAACACGGATGGCATGTTTTCAACCAAATGCTGACCCTGGCTTAGGATTTCTCCTCTCTTAGTTTTGGGATTTTACCAGCAGAGGGCAGGCCGGGATTGCACTGCAAGCAGAAAAATGCAGAAGTGCAAGAGGGAGAGCATTTCACCCAGGGCAAGCAACAGCAGAACTGAGATAAGCAACGTTTTTCATGCAAGAGGAATTTGGGAGAGCAGGACTCGCTCGCCACTAGAGCACCTGCTGCACAGCAAAGCTCCCGCAGCCTGGAAGTGGCCTCGTCCCCTCTGAGTAGCAGGCGAAAGCTCGTTCATCAGGACCCTGTTTTGTTCCAGCCTGGCTGCTGTCAAAGCTGGAAGGGTGTTTAATGCCACTGTGTGCCACCGAGCAACCCCAGCCGGACTGTGCTGAACGCAGCCCACGCGTTCCCATAGGCATCTTCAATTATGTTTTTTTGCCTGAAGAACGAGGATGAAGAGAGTGTGCAGAGAGTTCGGGGATTTCCCCTACAGGGTAGATCAAAAGTTGCCAGGATGCGTTAGAGGAGACATTTAGGCTAAGGAAAACCCTGGGAATAAAAATGAAGCTCCAGTCCCGGGCTACTGCTCTAATCACCACGTTGCTGTGGGGAGAAAACCCCACAGGCCTGAACCGATGCCCTCCCACCCGCTCCGGCTCCCGTTTGATCAGCAGAGATCAGGAAGTGGCTTTTTTTTTTTTTTCACTGTCTCTGTTTTGTTTTACCACTGTAGCCCACGGGGCTGGTTTGTATGCCTGCCTCCCACGGAGGGTAATTTGGTTCCTCTCTCTGGCTGAGGCCACACCAGAGCTCTGAGCTCCCACCGCTGCCGCCAGCCGGGTCGGGGCAGCCCAGGCACCAGTGGGACAACCCGTCATCAATAGCCCTATTATTGCTCTTGAAGTTTCTCTCCGCTTCCAGACGGATGCTGCGTTACTCCATCACAGCTGCAGTTGCTCCCTTCCAGCAATTCCCAACACAGCACTTAAGGCAGGGATTTATGGGCGGTTTTGAAAGGCATTTTGGAGCGAGAAGGAGTTACGAGAAAGGAAGTCAAATTCCCACCATTCCCCAGAAAATTCTCCCAGCATCTTTCACGAGAAGGATCATTTACTGGTCCTTTCCTCAGAACAGAGACAAGCTCTCAGCTGTGGTTCTTTGTTTAGTCCAAAGCATTTCCCGACAGCAAGAAGCAGCAGGGGTTATTCTGGTCCTGCTTGCAAAGGGTCAGGAGACCGAGCCGAGGCCTCGGTGTCTGGCTGCAAGGCTCTGCTGGACCCAGTTTGTTCCCTGACATTTTTGTAGACGCTGGTAGCTAAATGAAGTGATTTGTTCTCAAGCCACGGACTATTGCCAATCTCAGGGCAAGCGTTGCTACTATCCCGCTGATTTTGACTCGCGTAGTGGTTCGCAAAGTAAAAAGTCCTGGGACCAGAGTTACCAAGAGCAGCAGCGACAAAACAACCAGCAGGGATGTTACCTTACAAGCTACATCGTACCTTTTTTTGAAGCTTTTCAGGAAGAAAAGCTCACCTGCCGCAAGACTAGCAGTCATCCCAGCAGGCTGGATTAGCATAACAGATTCACATCAACACTACATTTTACAACCAGGACAGGGGTTTGAAAGACTTTATTTGACACCTTTGCTGGATGTCACAGCTCGTGAATCTAACAGCTCCGCACAGTGTAAAGTGAGGCCGGGCTACTTGCTGTGAGCTCTAGCGTGCCGACCAGCCGCAGGCACAACTGGGGTCCGCTGGGACCTCCTCCAACTTTATTAAAAGGGAAAATGTTGTTCCTGGCGGATTCTGGCACTTCAGGACAAGGGTGAGGAGAAGTAGCAGAGGCATTTCTCTGTGTTAAGTGCGATGACTTTCATCGAAACGACTGGGAGGGACTCACTTTCAAAACAATAGCAGGTACATACATTGACATGCACATGGCAGATAGAATCTGCAGGAAGGCAAACACCAGCTCATCCACACAGTCTAACCGGCTGCGCGTTTGACCTGAGGCATGGGGAGAGCCTCTCCCATTCAAGAGAGGCCTTCTCCTTCTTTTTTACCTTTCTTTGCACTGACCTTTCCACACTTTTCTCTCTTTTCACGTCACAGTGCTGTAGAGGTGGGCGAGACTCCTTGGGGCGGCCATGCAACTGGGTCCAGGCTATTCTGCACGGGTATCCCAGCAAGTCAAGGCACAGATGCAGGGAGCGGGGTCTGTTTGGACAAAGGGGAGCACTGGGAGACCCTACCCTGGCCACCATGGGAGTTCGGGACGTGGCATGGGAGCACGGTGGCTCAAGAGCTTCAAGTTTCTGTTCCTTTCTGCCCAAAGAAGAGAGGTGGGGAGGACAGCTGGTTGAGCAGAGGTATATCTGCTGCATCAGTCATCCAGGGGCACGCAGCCCAAGGCAGAAAAAGCTCTCAGGAATCAGGACAAGTGCAGACCCAGAGCGTGCCGAGGTCTGCGGTGAAACCTCAGTGGGTTTCCACCCTGGCCCAGGGAGAGGGATGAGCAATGTGAGACCAAAACATGGTGCTGAAGAAAGAAAACAGAGACATAGCGGGAGGCAGAGGGCAAGAGATGCAGGGCTAAGAGAGAACGAGGGAGGCACTTCAAATGCAAGCTGCTCCGACCCATTCCCCTGCCTTTGCAGTCACGGCTGTTCGCCAGGGGACAGAGGAGAGCCGGCTCCACTGGGGAGACTGGCAGAGGGAAAGGCCTTTTCTTCTCACTTTGGCCATCAGAGCCTTCCCCTCCATGACAGACGTCCCTTTGAAATCCTCTGTCTCGCCTCATCTCACCTCTTCACACGTCGGTGCGCAGTAAGGGCTGCGGAAGCCTCCCTCTGCCCAGGCAACCTGGCCGGCTGCTCCTGCACGGTTCGTGCGGGGACCCGGCGGCATTTCAGCTCGGCTGTGGGAAACGAGCTCTGTTAAGCTGTTGCCTCACTCCACCTTAAGGGCACATAAGTGGGAAAAGCTTGTAATGCAGCGAGGAAAGCATGGGGATTAGCATGCTGCTTCCATCCCACCACACCAAAATTAGGTGCTGCAGCTAGAGGGACATGTTGCAGGGAATCAGCATGAGCAAGTCTCTGTCTGGCAGCTCTGAGTCCCCAAGGAAACAAGACAGTATTTCAAGGCTGTTTTTCCAAAGAGCAACGCTGGGCTCCGCAGAGGGGTTTGCTGGAGGAGGGACAGGCTTGGGATCTGCGTGTGCTCCCTCCCTTGTAGCCGGAAGGGTCTGGAGTACAGCCGCGTGCAGACAAGTGCATCGAATTGGATGTGATTTACATTTGCAGGCATCACGAGGGAGAGGACGTGTGATGGTGAGGCAAGGAAGGCAGTGCGAGGAGGGAGGGAAGAGTAAAGAGAATTTTCTTTATGGATCCTTGGCTTCTGCAAAGCAGGAAAGATGCCTTTTCAGCTGAGTTTGTTCTTAAGCCTGTGGGCAATGAATGCTGAAGAATTCCTGTCTCCGAAGGGGTGGGGAGGGTCAGAAAGCCCCGATTTCAGTTGCCCAGGAGCGGCAGATCCTGGATGTCCCAACCCTGATCCCGGGTCCCTGCGCAGCAGTGCCCAAGGCAGGAGGCACCGTGTAAGCCGGTGGAACAGGGACACCAGCAGAAGCTGGTGAGAAGAGGAACGTCGCGATTTGGCTGCTCTTGGACGAACCCTCTCTCAACACGCCCGCTGGCGACGGCATCCTGGGCACGGCTGCTACGGCTGCAGACGAGCTGGTGCCTCGGGCTCTCCGGCTGGAAGAGGCCATCCTGCTGGCCAGGAAGCTTCGGCGGGATGGCAGCATGTCGGTGGGGACACGGCGAAGCGGGGCTGGCCTCACAGCGGGGCTTGGGTAAGCCAGGGAAGATGCAGTCAAAACAACCGGAGTGGGAGCAGCCTCCCTCCTGGGGATTTGCATGGGGCCAGCAGCGCTGTGGAGGAAGGACCATGGCCACGTCTGGATGGGCAGGAGGGAAGTGGCCACAGGCGAAGGCTCCATTTCTGCCACGTAATTATTCAGGTGGGAGAGGAGTCGCAGCCGGATGGGGTCGGCGGCATTTTGGCCCTCAAGGATGCCCAGGTACCTGACAACTTCAGTGAGACATTCACGGAAGCCGATACTCCTGTAATCCACAGCCAGAGCTCGAGCATCTAAGAAGCCTGTAGGGAGAGGACATGGGTGACAGTAAGTCCGTGCAGAGCTTCGGAATGTGCTTTGATTTCACTACCCTCTCTAATGCACTGTGTATTTCACTTGAGGCACTTTGCTGCCGTGTGATATTACTGAAGCAGATAGCCAAGTGGGTGTCCGAAAGGACTGGACATTTGCGTGCATGAGAATAGCATCTGCGGTTATCTCATGAGGATAAAACTGCCAGGGTCATGAAGCCTCTTACTTCAGCATGTGAGACAAGTAAGAGGTTTCATTAACCGTGCTCAGGAGGGAAGAATTTTTTCCTATTGGACTCTATCAGTTATCACTGCTGGAGTCATGTCTGTGGGCCGGATGGGCACAGGGTCCCTCTTTGCAAATGGACCATCCCCGCTCTTGCAGAACAGGGGGACGCTGTGTCTCCTCGATGCACAGCTTAGCACCGTTTTCCTCTGTCTGGGTCCCAATCTATACACTTCACATAAACAGACGTCCGGCTGACGGACACAGGAGAGTGGCAGAACCAAGACCGCTGGGCCGAGGAAGCTCAAAGCCACAAAAATCAACAAGATAAAACGCAACCAACGGCTGATTTGTAGGCTTCTGCTCCCTACTTGCAGCTTCATGAGACGATAAGCAATAAAGCAGAGAATGTCACAGCACAGTGAAGTGCTGGACCACTTTGCTTGACGGGGTCTCTCGTGACAATGCAGCCCTTTGTTGCAGTGCAGTCAAACTGAATATCTAAACAAATGTTCCAGACCAAGTTACAGCTCTGAACCAAAGCCTGGATGCCAGCAATGTCCCCAGCAAGCCAAAAATGGGTGGTAAGCAAGCCAGAGGCTTCTTTACTGGAGCTGTGATCTCCATCCTGTTAACTGGAACAGGACAGAGGGTCTGTACTGAGGTCTTGGTACAAATAAGACCTTTGTTGAATTTTGCACAGGGCTCCCTCTCTCTTCTTATAACAACCAAGAAACAAACAAACAAAAAAAAAAAGAACAGAAAGGGAAAAGCCTTGTTTATTTGCAGAGTCCCCATGCAGAATTCAGGCTCTGCAGGAAATGTCTCCCAGGGAGGAGGTAAAGAGTTTAATATCATTTTCTGGAAGCAGGCTCCATTTCTGAGCGGGACTAAGCGCATTTCTGGCTGGGCAGCTTTCAGCAGGGTGCGTGACAAGAGCAGTGGTGCTGTCCACGTGGGTCTTTGGGACTTGCTATCCCACATACCCCAGTCTTCCAAATGTATGCATGGGATGCTGACCCATATGTTAGACATAAGAAAAACAACAGGGCAGGAAACGTCCATCTGCTCTCCCTCGAAAAATATTTCCCTCGGGAAGCAGGCAGGGGCAGCGTTCGTTTTGGTGCTGGCTCACCAGCACCAAGGTATTGCCTGCTGCGGAGGCTGCTGAGAATTTTTCCTCCCAGGTTTTCACCTTCACCTCACCCGTGTGCCTGTCAGAGCAGTTCTTACCTGTTCCTCCAGTGGCGTGAAGCATTTTTAAGTGATCTACTGTCATTTGTAGAATTTCTGCCTTCTCCAGCTTGGAAGACCCCTGTGTGTTGGGAGCAGGAAAGAGCAATTCATCATTTTATGGTCTAGGGTTTTGTGCCTCTCAGGAGCTGGGTGTTTCCCCATGACCTCCTCCACAAAACCTTTCTGAAGCCCAGGAGCGCTCAGATTGGAGCAGGGCATCCATCCAGGGCATTGGCTCTGGTTTTTACATCAAACACGTAGAAAATTGAGCTCCTTCTCAAGATCCCCTGCTGCAGATTGAAAATCCCCATTTCTGTGCATCTTCCTATCTGCAAAACGCTTTCCAGACTGAATTTATCCCCCTTAGGGCTCCTGAATCTTTGTTAATATTGTTTTGCCACACAGTTTCACCACCTACTTATTCCCCGAAGTGACGATGATAAGAAAGACACAGCATTGCTCCAGACTTTCGCATTCTGAGGGCTCTACCCTTAACACTGCTGAAACACAGCCCACACAGGAGGATGCGTGGAAATCGGGGACACACACACCTGCTTCTCGAAGGCGGTGGGCACCAGGCGCCGCAGTTCGGAGAGGCTGCTGTTGATACGGTCACGGCGCCGCTTCTCAATGATCTGTGGGATGTTTCCAAGTGGAGAGAAGAAACCACGGTCATTTACGGCCACAGCTCACGGGACTAAAGCCCTCATTAACAGCTACGTCAGGTGGAGAGAGGTGCTTTGAACGGGGCCATATAGGTAAATGTTTTGGGTGCCAAAGCTGAGCAGAGAAACATTAACTGACTGGTGTGATAACCCCAGGTGAAATTGCTCTCTTCCACTCCTATCCCCCACCCCGTTCTGCCACATTTCAAGTATCTCCAATTGGCTGTGGGGAAGAGTTCCGCAGGAGATGGAGCAGGGAATGGCGTACAGTCAATTTTGCACTGTGTCCCACAGGAAGGACGTGCCAACAGCACCCCAGTGCTCCCAGGGGATGTCACAGGGAGCCCCGGCACACAGCAGGGACCAGCCTGACCCCACAACCCAACCACCCTGGTCAATGCGAATGAGACTCACCCCTCTCCGCTTCTTCCTGGCTTGTATCTGAGATGTCGTAGTGGGAGACACAGACCTGGAAACATGGCTGGCAAGGAAAGAAGAGGGAATCGTTTCTTGCGCTAGCTGGAGAGAAACCTCTGTTGCACATATGCTTTACACACGTTTGCCAGCTGCAGTTCCCCCCTCCTGCCCCAAATAATGTCTTCTGTGGTTCCCATCTCATTTTTACCCACAACACAGAGCTCAGGAATTGGGGACGGGGAACCAAGCAGAGACTCAAATCCCACTCTCTCCCCTCCGAGAGTCTCCCACCAGCCTGGGACAGATTTCTGCACCAAACTGCCCATCCACACATCTCCTTCAATCTCAGCCCATGCTGGCATCTCCACAGGGCTGGAAAAGCAGCAATCCGAGCTCCAGAGTCATGGCCTTTATTTTCCTCCATCTGCAAACCTCCTGGCTCTCATGTCTGAGCCTGCCCTGTCTGCAGAGCTTTGCATCTCGGAGCTGTGATAGCACGAGCGCGTATCTGAGCTCCCACCCAGGGCGGCTGCAAAGGGCTGGTCGATCCTCGGGGTGAGGCTAACGGCAAGCGTTGATGTGGTTTCTGAGGGCTTCCTGGAGAATCGCTTCACAAACCACAATTTTTGGGGTGGGCTGTGATATTCTGAATGCACGGACGCCCCTGAACCAGACAGAGAGGGGCCAGGACCCCAAGCCAGGCAGGAGGTGACAGAGCAGGGACCCTGCTTGCTGGCCGGCAGCCCCAGGGACCAGCTCTGGCGCAAGGGACACAGAGGGGGGCAGGGGGACAGGCTAAAGAGAAGGGTCCCATGAACCAGCCTGTGCCTGGTGGGCACTGGTGAGGCTCAAGACACCAAAGGTCAGCACTGGACACGCACAGGGAGGCAAAGTTCAATCCTTAGGTCCCCACGCAGGTGAAGTGTCCGTAAGGATGGATAACCGGACATGGGAAACTCCTTGAAGCAAACCCCCTCTGCTCGGGGCAGGGGGGGGACGACACCAGCCAGGCCACCCCAAGCGGGGTTTCTCCCTCTGGAGAGCGGGACTGGCTCAGGGCTCTTTCGGTGCCTTACGAAACTCGGCACAGGGATGTTAACAGGCAGGCGAGACAGCAGTCTGCAACGCCGGCCAGCACAGCGCTCCGGAGGGACTCGGAGACCACGTAAGACATACAAATCTGGAAAGGGGCATTTGGGTTCACCCCGTCAAATCAAAATATTTTTCAGTTTGACAAAGCATTTTAATAGCAGTCTATTAAAGATGTTTCTGCAGAGACAGTGCTGTCTGCACAGCAAGCCAAGAACTAGACCAAACTCAGCCCATTAAAAATACATTTTGTTAGGGCCCAAACGAGGCGCTTTCAGAAGTGGTTTTACACCGTCAGACGAAATAACACGTTCTTCTGCTGGCTGCTCTGCTCATCTCCATACCGGTGCCCTATTTGAATGTCTGCTGGGTGGGCTTTCTCTGGGCATAGGTGCTGGCTGGCTTCGCAAGTATGAACATGCGATGCCAGTATCCGTAAAGGCACGTACGGTGAGCACGTATGATGCAAAAACAGGCTCCCTG